GTGTAACGAGATGAAAATCTTTTCGTGTAACAAGTTATAAAGAGTCACTTGAAGAATGCTCTTATCTAATACACAAAAAATGTTTTAAAATCTGTTATCATTACAGCGAATTCAATTGGATATATCGATGCGCACTGATCAACACTAGAGACTGTCGTATACAGATCGCAAGTACAAAGGCTGATACATGGAGTCTAAGCATGTAACCCACAGAGTACATTTAATGTAAATTACAGCATCGTTTACTTGGCAAAGTAAACGTTGAGCACTTTATCAAAGATTGTTTATGTACTATATGTACTTGCATTCACTATCGAATTTATCAGGTAACTTCCTTTTGTATAAAGTCTGCTTCAACACACTTTGATGCATCCAATCGAATTTGCCGAAAGTCAGACTTATATATCACTTCATATAATATCTTTCATCGTAACATAAACAAGAAATTAGTGCTACTGCATTATCCCTCACGTCGAAATATACTCGTTCAGAACTGCGCTATCAAGTTTATGAACTTTATTTAGAAACATACACAGATTCAGATGTAATTATGCTTATGTGAAAAGTATTGACTATATGGTTCATGTGGAAAATGGTTAGCTTTTCCATTACAAATCAAGTTTTTCCATAAGCAAATTATTAATTACGTCTAATATTCTGAGTTGTGCACAACAATTTGTCTCCTTAAGTGCGCGATAGATCAGTTAAAACACTAACAAGGTTTAATTTATTTTCTGAAACTATGCAATGATCAGGTGAATGTTGAACTATATCACTTTGTCAGTTGCAGCAATTTTTCTCCGTGCTTCCCATCCAATGCCAACTTCACAAAAGTTCGTACCCTCATATATTCTTTAAATCATCCGGTAGCTCGTTCTTGGGATGTTTGTTCTCAAAATGTTGCTTATAGGTTTTAGGGTCTGGCATCTGGGCCTATAAACCAAATTTATACACATTATAAAATATATACTAAAAGCGGAAAGGGTGCAAATCGAAAGACAACAAAGATATTAACCTTGCACACACTACACACATGTACAAGCGCTTTTTGTGCTGCCTTCTTCTGTTCATTGGCACTGTGTCCTTGTTGTTTCTTTACTTTTGCAGCTTTCTCCGCAGCTTTGGCTTGAGATTGTATTTTTTGCTGTCCACGAGCCATTCTGGAAATAAAATAAACTGTGTATAAAGCCTTGATATCTCCTGAATGATATCAACAATAAAGATATATTTGATTTTGCTTTTCTTGAAATTTACAAAGTTGTGGTATCGGTATCGTACAAAATATACAGAATTTAAAATTGATTGTATTTAAAAAACAGCAATGTGTAACTTTTAAGTAACAATTTTTTGTGACTAGAAAGATAGTACTAGACTAAATTTGTCAGATTATATCAGTTTTCTAAAAATTGATCGACCAGCTGTTGCGTGCATTGAACACATGCTGACCATACGTCAGTTATACACTGGTCAACTCTGTGTCTTATCTACTCTTAACTACTTACAACAAACTCAATTACACTATAGCAAATTTGATCTCGCAATTGTGCTGTCACATCAATCAGCCTTTTCAATTTTTACATCCATCTTGAAATAATATACGGATCATACTGCTGCCTTTTTAATGTATACGATGCGGTACCGAAAATATCCGCCGGTCGTGCTCACCGTTCACATGTAGCTGTGATAATCGCTCTCGTCGAGCCTGGGACATCACAACCTGGCGATCACCAGGTCGGCTAAACGGTTGGGAACAAAAATGCGGAGAAAGTCCTCGAAAACGACACGCATGGATTTCACCGGAGAGCAGCTGAGTCTGCTCAATTTTGCTCTACTCTCTCTAGCGATTCTGCTTGCTCTTCTCCCGAACACGCTTATTTCGCTTCAAGCGCAGAAAGTATAACGTGGTGCGATTATGAGCAGACCTCTTACCTATTCGTAGGTCGGTAAACGTGTGCGACGGTCCCTCGTTTCTACGATTCACTCTCCGGGACGACGGCAACGCGGAGAGACGACGATTGTCGACGAAGTGATGCACCTCGCGGATGAGGTTTCCCGGGATAAAGAAAAAGCCGCGTAGGGAACGAGAGCGCACAGCGAAAGTCGTGACCCGGAGCACTTTCTGCGCGCAGACGAGTGCACGTACTCGCGCAAAGAAACTACCACGGAGCCGCTATCTATAGGATTATTCGCCGCGACTGCACTCTCTGCGCGTAAAGCGCAATAGGTATACACGCGAGAATTGACGCGGTCGAGCGAGGAGATGAAGCGACGAGGTGCTGAAAGTGTAACCGAGACCAGAGGAATTGATGGGTCTCTCTCTCTCTCTCTCTCTCTCTTTCTCCGTATTCAAAATAAAATAAGTATGTTTCTCATGAGCGCGGGAAGAATTATTAAATAGGAGGAAAGGAGCAAATCGGAAGAAGGTACGACGGTGCAATGCAACGGGTGCAATGAGAAAATGATATCAGACAGAAGTCACATGTGAAGCAAATAGTATGACAGCGGCGTCACTGACGAGGCAATGCTAAAGACTGTCAAACCTAGGTAAATTTTCGTACATCGGCGAAGGGGCTCCGACGGGCCTGGAGGTAATTCTAGAGTCGCGACAATACCGACAGTTTCAGTTACAACACGGACGAGGTAATATTAAAGGGCAAGACGAGACAGATTCTTTTAGTTTAGCGATAAGATCTGCCGCTGAGTCGCCTTGTGCCTCCTTTTGTCGCGCGTACGCTCATCGGTGGTGCGACAAAGAAGAGCGATATTGATCGTCTGAGCTTTTCTAACTTACTATATTCCTTAAGGAAGTAGAATGAACAAGAACCGTGCACGCTTTGCCATTACCGTCAGCATGAACGTAGTGTGCACATATTTTCTCAGGGGGCACGACGGAATTCGGCGGTAACAGCGTCTCTCAGGTTTCTTTCTGTACATAATTTTATTTACAATACAGGCGGGCAATGAAGCGGTCTGGTTATTGCAACAGATTGTACCATCATTGTCTTATTAAACTGCGTGTAGCTCCGAATTAAATCGATCTATCATCGACTGCTTTCACACCGCGTAACCTCGTACACTTTGTGCAGATAAATAGTTCCGCTACGGAAAGAAATGAATCACCGCGATTGGTCGACTCAGCTTCGCGAGTATCCCGCTTGTAGCGCTGTTCGCAGTTTTATTTGTATTTAGTTATGGCGCCGGGTTACGGGTTGTGTTGTGTGCGAGAAACCGTCGCCGGTGATTTCTCGTGATTTTGACTCGCCGCAGCTGAGTCTCGTGCCTTAAATCGTTACCGGAAGTGCCGAAAGTAAGTTTCGCGCGGATGTTACGGCGGAATGACGTTCGTTCCGCCGCACGAAGTGAAGTGAGATGGAATCGTCGGAACGCCGAGGAAAGTACAGCGCGCCAGCTGCGTAAGTGCAGCTCGGTTTTCGCGTCACGGAGTTTCGTTTTCGACTCGTCAGCCGAGTCTCGGCCGCGAATCGTTAAACATCGAGGTATGGCACAGCTTTCGTTTGCAAATGCGCATTGTCCGTCAGAAAGGTCGAGTAAAGTTTCGGGAATTTTTTCCGTCATGGCCGACTTCGTGGAATATTTCAAACGGAACGGACGGTTTCGAACAGAATATTTTGATTGGCTAATACGCTAGTGATACGTGTTCACCGACATACGCACACATTGAAAATCGCGACCGTTGCATTACAGCATTGCTTAGTACGTGAATTCCAAGAGCCGACCGTGCGAATACACAAATTTTTAAAATTTCAAAAAAATCTAAGGTGAAGGCGTTATACTGCATATTTATCATTTTCTTTTGTCAAATCTAGGAAAATGGAGGAGAGGTAGTCTCCGAGAGTTTACAATTAACGTACATTTGAATTGCCTGAACTTGCTAACTCCGGTTTAATTTTTTAATTATTTTTTCTTGGAGAATAGTTCTCTCGGACATATTTAGAAATTTAATGAAGTCATACGTATAATGACGTAACAAGGTTAGTAAAAACTTGATATTGGCTGCGAAATTTCTAATATTTATATATGTACATTATCGATAAAATCATACGGATAACTGAGAGCCGTGGTTTTTCGTGCAGAAAAACATGTATTTTATAGATTTTTGTAGATCGAGCTTTTATAGTCGAATTAGTAACTTTTTTTGTCGATATAATCAGAACGGTTCAATATCCCTTTACAAAAGAAATTGTGTCGTCGACATTATATAAAATATTGAAAAGATCCTGTTTCTTTTCCCTTCGTATTCTCTATATTTTTAAATATTTTATAAATATTTTAATATTTTAAATATTTTATTTCATTTAATATTTAATGTACCTTATACACTTTTCCAAAGGTTCTGTTCTCAATACATTTATACTTTATGTTCTTAAAAAAGTTAAGCTTTTATATTGCACTAGAAATTTATATTTATCGTAAAATATAGTACACAAACATGAAAAGTATGAAGTGCGATAATGACAACCAGAAAATAAGCCCAAGATCTTTCTCTTGCCATGAGAATTGTCTTTATCTATTTATCTTATCTTATATTATCCAGATTATTCAGATCCGATATTCAACCGCTCACCCACTTTCTCTCCAATAATATCTCACCACCGCCCTTGCCCTCTATTGTATTATTATATTAATCTTTTTTTATAAAAAAAAAACACCATTGAAGAAAAATGTCTCGCGTGACACGATAGGGATAAGGGGTTTGTTTAAAAAAAGCCGAGCAGCGTGAATAGTACAATGATGTATAGCTGCGGTTTTATTTATATATACATTTTCTTCTTATAAGTATATTTTATTTAATAATCATCTGAGTTATAATATACATGTAAAATTTCATTTGCGTTTTACTGGATGCCGTGGATGTGCCTGAATTTAAATGAAAATCATTTATATTCGTGCACCGAGGACGCGTGTATATGTATGTATGCACGTACGTGTGACATGTGTATGTGTATGTGTATATACGCCTGTATGTATAGGGTGTAACATCATATACAGGTCAGTACGAAGGGTTACCCGCCTCCATTCGAAGGATAATGCACATGTTGCCGAAAAAGTCACTCGCTGACCTTGTCGAGTAGTGATATTTGCAATGCTCTCAGTTATGACGAGTGCAACTAATTCTGCACCGTGATCGTTTATGACAGGAGCTCAGCCTCACTGAATTAAAAAAAAAAAATATTTAAAAAAGTAAAACTGAGAAATAAACATAATGGATTTAAACAGAGTAAATACTTAAGGGGGTAAATAATACAACATATCTTCTTGTTTCGCACAATTTCTTAATTTCTTTCCTGCGTCGAAAAGTTTGACGGGAATCGAAGACTGGAAAGAATGGTACAGAAATATTTAGACGTCTTGCCGATTCCATCCGTTTCTGCAAAAGTATGAATCGACGAGCGAAAACGCAGCATAAATTATCGATTGCAATTTAATCGACGACAACTATTGAGCGACATATTTCCAGCACATAATTTTATATCTTGATTTATCTTTTATCGAAAGATTTACTCCGCTTAAATCCATAATAATGTTTATTTCCCAGATTCACTTTTTTAAACATTTTCTTTTTTGCAACTTAGTGAGGCTCGGCTCCCGTCATAAACGGTGCGGAATCAGTCGCAGACTGATCATAACTGGGAGCATTGCAAATATCATTATCGACAAGGTCAACGAGTGACTTTTTCTTACAACTTGCGCATTATTGTCCGAATGAGGCAGAGGGGCAACTCGTCGTGCTGACCTATATATATATATATATCGATGTTATACTCTGCAGTCCCTACCGTTTTACATGGGTTCTGTGTGGATTTTCATTTTTATTCTTCCTAGCGCAATACACACCAGCTAAGGATACTGTTGTCTATGGTTATTTTCTAAGTTCGCCTATTTTAATATTTACGGCTTAGCGCGTCTGTGGTTACCCTCGTGGATTACAAATAGGTGCACAGAAGACTAAACGACTCGATGGTACGATCGGACGCTTATCCCGTATCTCTACTCCATCATCATTTACGAATAAATAATCAAATATATTTCGCGTTAAAAGAATACTTCGTGCTACCTCGGGCTAAAGCAGTGCTCGTCGCATCCGCCGCATCCCTGACTTCTCAGCCGCACGATTGATGTCCTCCGCCTCCATGTCGTCGCGAGCACTTATCGTATTTTTCGCCGCGTTATATTATCGTTATTACAACATCTTCGCTACCGCAAGCGTCACCGCAAGCTTACAATGCTCTCTCTCCCGACTTTCTCTCTCCGAACTTTCGAAATAACCGTTCGCGCGATATAACACACGCCCGAATTATTCCTAGAGATTTTGAAAATAATTTCCCTCCCCGTTCAGCCTCTACATTCATCTCGTGACTCTTCTCGTTCTCTTTGGTATGTGGTACATGTGATCTTGTGTAGTACGCAAGATATTTGGCCAGTCACCGTTAAAAAATTGTACGGTACTTTACGTAACTCTGACGGCTCGTCGCCGACGAGTTATTACAACTTTCCTCGTAGGATTGTACATTCGGTGATAAAAATCTTTTAACGCTAGACAGCGGCCGCGTGAGACGGCCGCTTTGACAGTCGCTGAATATCAAATCGATAATCTGCCGCTTTGCGTGCGCGCGAGCACGCGCGCATGTGTTAAGCACACGATGTGTGCCATCTGATACGTTTGCAACCTTTTGACTTGGTGGTATCCGTTGTACCTTCGTCTTCCTCAATAATTAGCAATAATCGAAACTGTCAGTTTCCCCAAAGTTTGACAGTCTCGCTGAATATCAAATCGATAATCCCGCTTTTGTACGTGTATATATGTTTGTGTGCCATCTGATACGCTCTCCTCTCATCCCTTTGACTTCGTGTTCATTGCGCTTGTATCTTCTCTCTTCGGTAATTACTAGCTCGGTAAACCGAGCCGCCATGTGTACACAATTTCTTATCTAGAAAGGCTGCTGTGATATATAAGTATAGAAATGTGTGTGCCGATCCTTCTAAATTAAATACCTTACTCTCTATATGTTATGTAAATGTATAATTTATTTAACGGCGGGGGTCAAAAGGTTTCCATTCTCATTATCCTCTTTTGTGTGTTTGTGTGTATGTTTGTACGCGTGTGTGTGTATGTGTGTGTGTGTGTAAATAATTGCAGAATAACACACATTTACAATCCTCGCAATTATCGGTCGCTAATCAGTCTAAGGATAAAAATCTTACATCAAGTTCCAAGAATGTGTACCGCTCGCAAACGTGAGATAGAGATTAGATAGAGTAGATGCGATGTTAAAAGTATAATGCCATCGGATGATCAGAAGACGTATCTAACCCTTCAACACCGTGAAAACAAGAATTTTCAACGAACAGACTTGTTTCTTGCAGATCTCGTTCATACATTTCTTACTTACCAATTTACCTAATTCAATACTCCTCTCCTTCTCTTTCGTTTCGCAAGACATTTGTTGCTTCAACTTATTGCAGAAAAAAAATAAATTT